GATAACTCCTGGGGCTGAATTTCTGCATGTGTATCCTACATTTAGAATGGCCTGCCACAAACTATAGGCATAATGTTTTTGGTAATGGTCCCATGTGGAAAAGCATGAAGGAAGCCTGAGAACTCTCATGCCAGAAAACAATGAAACACTCAAAACCTAGTGGAGAAGTGTCAGAAGGTGACAGAAATCAGCCTGAAAAGGTGTTCACCAGCCCAAATTGGGGTCATTTGAGAACGGATGAAACTCATGACTCAAATAATTGAACATAGCATAACAAGTAAATTATGAGTCTAAAGAAGAAGAAAAGCTTATGCAGTTAATTGGAACATTTTTAAAATTGGTAATGAAAGAGAAAAGAAGCTTCTCCGTGATTTCCTCCAATGGGTATATAGTTTGTTATAGTTGATGAGAAAGTACTTCATGATAGGTCACATAGTAGTTCTATCAATAAAGATTGATGCAATTAGAAAACCCTAAAAGTTTACAGTCTCAGGCATAACAATGTATTCAGAGAGATCACCAGTGAATGCTAAAGTCATTAAGGGGATCTCCTAAGGACATTAATTCCCCCTGCCAAGCTGGCACAGGTTACTTGCCAGCTCCCATGGGAAAAACAGTACCTGTGCAAAGAGACGCCTGGCTCTCTCCCCCCGAACCAAGGGATACAGTGATGGGGTAGACCTTGTGCCATGTGATCCCCAGCACGGGTGCTTAAGCACATGAATTGTACATCACTGTGCACCAAACAATAGCTCAGATAACTTAACCAGATTTAAATCGTTCCTACAGAGTAGCTACAACTTATAGAAAATAAGTGGAGAAATAAATTCGGTAACAACCAGAAATTTTCACCATATTTAAAGTTTGACATATTTCGAAAGCCATCCAGCCTGGTTTGACTGTGTATAGCCATAGTGTGTGTGTGTGTGTGTGTGTGTGTGTGTGTGTGTAGCAGAGGGATTATTTCAATAAAAGACACTAATAAGAAGACACAATATCCAAATATATTATATGAAACTTTATTTATTCTGGATTTTTTTAAGTAATAAAATACATTGTAGGAATAATCAAAGTGAATTTGAATACAGGGCAATATTTAGATGATGCTATGGAGATGATACTAAATTCTGATTTTGAAATAACAATGGTATTCCAGGCTGTTAGGGAAAATGTCCTCCTCTTTAGGAGACATCTGCTGAAGTATCTTGATCTTCATTTACTTGCATAGAAACCTATAAATATACACACATATACACACACACACACATTTGTAGCTACATTTACTAACTGTGGTAGAAGTTAAAAATTATTGAATTTAGATGTTGGTCATATGCATATCCATTGTTCATTTCTACATTTCTGTATTTTAAAAATGTTAAGTATAAATCTGGAACATAGAAATATGGCATATGTGTTTTCTTCGTTTGATTTTGTGTATATGTAACTTAATCTTCAAAAATTCAACAAAAATATTTGCTCAGAATCCCTTATATGTTCATATGATGCTACTTTCTATTTGGAATGGCGAGCCCCCTAATAAGCTTGTGAAGCAAAGTAGGCTCATTTTGCACAGAATTGCCCTCCCTTCCTCTAAAATCTGAAACGTATGAACAGAATCAATGTGCTGTCAGCAGCGTGATGGATGTTCTCAGTGCTATGAAGGAATTATAGACATATGTTGCAATCATAACTCTATAGGCTGCCATGGGATGAGAAAGAACAGGGCACGGCAGTGAAACTTGGGATGAAAGTAGAGATCAGAAATTCAAGAGCAGAGAAAAACTGTCAAAGGGTTATATATATAAAGGGAATTCACAGAATGGAGAGCATAAGGAGGCAGGATGTATGGAAGCCATGTGGCAGAAGAATGTGCCAGATGGTGTAGGAAGGTGGCAGAGAAAGGGCAAGTACCCTGAAGAGATGATGAAGGCAACATCACATTGACGAGGACCAGGTGGAGGTCAGATGCAGCATGAGTGGGTGGCATCAAGATGATGGGGAGCCCAGAGACAGTTCAAGGCTAGCGGGGTGTTAAAATAAAGGAGTAAACTTGAACTAGTAAGTGTGTGTGTGTGTGTGTGTGTGTGTGTGTGTGTGTGTGTGGTGTGTTGGGAGAGGAAGGGGCACTTGAATTGAAGTCAGGAGAAGTCAATTTATTCGAAGTCAAGTAAAATTGGAATAGTGAAAACAGTATGCAATCAGGTGAGTCTAATTTGAAATTTGCTCTCTGCAGTGTTCTAATTCCCTGACCTTGGGCAAATCACTTAGAATCTCGGTGTTATTTAAACCATTATTTAAAAAATTTTAAGTGCAGCTTATAAGCAAATAAAATAAGTAAGTAATAGGTAGTCAGGTTTAAAAAAAAAATGTTTGTTGCTTTTAAGTATATGAATGTCTTGTCTGCACCGATACATGTACCATGTGTATGCAGGGTCTAAAAATGCCAGCAGAGGGCGTCAGATCTCTGGAACTGTCCTTACTGCAGTTTTCTCAGCTGCCTTGTCGATGCTGGGTACCAAATTTCTGTCTTCTGCAGGAACAGCAAGTGCTTGGAACCAATGTGAGTCATCTCTTCAGCCAAACTTTCAGTTCTTCTCACAGGGCATTCAAGAAGATGAGGTAAATTGATCACATTTGTTAATTTGCTTTGTGTATTATGATCCCATAAACATACTCCTTTCATTTAAAGTTACAATTTAAAGACCTTCATACCTTCAAGAATTTATTTTTCCTTTCCTATCAAGGAGGGAAATTGTCCAGTAAGGTAAAATTGCAAGGAATCAAGAGGGTGCTTTGATTTCTCTTGTCTACTGAATAAATTACTTTCAAATTAATGGCTTTAAACAAAAGAATGTTGTTTCTTTGGTGTGCAAGAGCGAAGAGAGTGTTGGCACCCTGTTTATTTGTGGGGACTTAGAGAAACTTAGCATGCCTTTCTCTCAGTCTCCAGTTGTTGCTGGCCATCATTGTGATTTTTTTTCTTTGTGTGTATTGTTTTAATTTTTATTGGCACCTGCACAATTGTCACAATTCTGTAGTGTCTGGGTCTTCTTTACCCTTTTTATATGAACACTGATACTCTTGGCTATAGGGCTTACACTCTTTTTCTACTAAGTCCATCTGCACAAACAAAACAAAACAAAACAAAAAAAAACAAAACAAAACAAAAAGCAACAACAAAACCCTATCTTTTCAACTAATTCATCATTCTGAGGCTTTACGGGAACATGAATTGTGGTACAGAGCACTCTTCAACATAGTATACCATGGGAGATCCTCTAAGTGAGAGGCAAAGCTTAACAAAGCTTCTTTAATGATACGTCCTCTGACCTATATGGAGAATGTATAAAATATAGTAAGAAGGGGAAAATATGGCTTATGGAAACTCCTTTCATTTAAAGTTATTTTTTATGATACTCATATGAGCAATCCTTTTTTTTTTTTTCTTCTGTCTCCAGAGAACTAGCTGCAGATTCCTTCATGTCCCTGTGGTCTTGGTTCTTGCCTGTACTGCAGCAGTCACCACACCCTAGTGCCCTGTGCCTTTCTGTTTAGCTTTGGTAGGCTGGTCAGCAAACTGTTATTTACTTTAGTGTTTCCAAGTCCCAGCACGGTACTACACACTATAATCAGTCAGTGAGTTCTTATGGAAGAAAGAAAGGAAAGAGAGAGCTGAGAAAGAAATGATGCAAAGGAGGATGGAGGAGACAGCTGGAAGGACCATTAGCTGGACTCGCCCTGGGTGGTGGAGAACTCTGAATGGCAGGTTGGGAGTTTTGTTATACGACAAAGTGTAATCACTATAGATTTCAGATCATGAAAATAATAAATCAGGACATGCTTTGAAACAAAAATCTGATAGTTGCATTGCATGTATCTTGAAGAGGAGAGCTCAAAACAACAACCAAAAAAATAATTTTAAGTCAATGAAATGAAATAAAGACAGGAAGTGAGGACGTGGAAGAGGTTCCAAGCCTTAAAGACAGGAAGACGTGAAAGTCTGTGGCAAAATCAACAAATCTATTCTTTAGACTGTTGTAACAACTCTAATAGAAAATATTAGCTAAAAAATGTAACTCTGTGTGTAAATGAATATTTTGCCTTGGGGTCATTTAGGTGTAACATTCCAGAATACAGGTTTTGCCATTTAACTAGATGTTGTGGCATAATTTTGAAAGAGATAACTTTGAAAGAGATAACCTTGAAGTTTTGGATTGAAAGTAGTTGACAGCGAGGGAAGGTTTAAGAAAGAGATTGTGTTGAGACTTCCAAAAGTGAGAAGAAGGGGAAAGCTGCATGAAAAGAGAACTTAAACGTCACGGTTTGTTGGGGAGTTACAGAGGAACAGCCTTGAAAAGATTCACAGCCGTATGAACAGCGTGTCACCCCTGTCCCCATGGCACAGAAAGGGTTAGTTATGTCCATTGTCTACCTAATTAATAATTACTGGTTAAAGATTTCATTTTTTTTTCATAGAATGGCCGTTTCAAACAATAGAAAAAAGCTACTCAAGACTGTTTACCACTGTACTTTAAAAAAATATATTCCTGTGACTGACACACTATGAGAAGTAAGTCCTACCTACGTTTATGCTGGCACTTTTCAATCAATAAAATCAAGTGGTTGCATTTTGAGTAAGTGTTATAAAGTAAACATCCAGGACTAGATCAGGTGCCGAAAAGCGAAGCAGAGGTAAATCTTGTCTGACGTTCAGCAAGGAAAGGAGATGGAATCGCGCGCTCATCGGAAGGGTGCTGAAGAAAGATAGACCTGAGAAGGAGCAGCATGTCCCCAGCTTGTTTCCATCTCATGCCAAGACGAACACAATCAATCAGCAGCACACAGTGGTCCTGCCGAATTAGTTCTCAGAATTACCCACAATGCAGTGTTGCAGACCCTGGATGCCAATTAATGGGTAAGCAGGAGTAAAGGTCAGCATCGATAGGCTTTTGATGCCAAGGATTGCGTACAAAAACAGAGGACGCCAGAAGAAATACTACTTTCAGATTAAGTTTTAAATATCTCCTAATAAGAATGTGTTAGAGAGTAACTGAAAGAGCTAGAGAAATGTTTTACTGATTTCTGGCTCTCAGATGAGGCTGTCTGCATGGACCCATGCATGGCAGGGTAAGCTGTTAAGCAGGGATGGAAGGAGGAATCAAAGAGAAAGCATTGTCAGGCCAGCATCTTGTTCAAGGTAAAACTGATGTTCAAAGTTTCAAAATTGAAAAGCTAAAGGTCTTAGGGAAGAAAAATAAAGAATCCTGAGATCAGGAACAGAAAGAAGAGGAAAAATAAAAAACAAAACAAACAAACAAACAGGAAAAATCAAGATAAAAGGACATGGAACTGAAAGAACTGGAAAAAAATAGGAGAAGCTGGTCCTTATGCTGGTAAGGACAACAGGTATGCCCAGTTTTGAGTTTCTCTGTTTCTTTTGGCTTGGACTGCTCCTCTGAGTCTCTAAGCACTGAGAATGCTATGGCGGGCAGAACTTAAAGTGCTGCATTTTCAAAGTTGCCAAAGTCTGTGTATATATCTATGCGGCCACACAAGGGACTGAGCATTGGTTTTGATGTTTTAAATAAGGGCAAAACTATTTCTTAATTCTTTTCCTCACAGCTTTTCTTTTAAATAACTGACTCCATTTTGGATCACACTAAAATCATGGCATTCCCATCCCTTTGGTGTTGTTATATGTTGTAGATGTTATTCCTAATTGCTTCTCAAGTACCCTCACTCACCAGGCACGTCCAACCCCCTCTCCCTTTATCCAGCACAAATCAATGAATCAATAAAATCACATGTTGGCTTAAGCTCTATTTATATTGTTGAAAATTCCAGAAGGCACTAATGTTTCTTTTTTTTTTAAGACCTCCGTATTGACTAGGCTCTGGAAACCCAGCATTCACTTCTCTCTATGGCTTGTGCTCTCCTAAGATAGGGTATCCAAAAGAATGCTCTATCCTGACTGTAATGGGAGGGGAAGGGAGACACAAACACTTTCCTTTTTCTGGATGTGATGTCAACCTTTCCTGACTGCATCTACCACATGGCTCCAATTGCTCTCTATGCCTAGACTTAATGGAAGAATTTAACAATCCAGTCTGCTATCCTGGCGTTTTCTTGCTCTGGGCTGGCTGTCAGCAGCTCATCTGGCAACCCGGTAGGAGAGGTTAATTAGCAGGGAGAGCTGAAGAGTGCTGCCCAGAGGGAGTCAGGAGTGCTGTGCCCACTGGGAGTCTGGAAGACAAACAAAGAAGTTAGGAAGTATTTGTTTTCTCGGTTGGGAAATCTTTTTCTCCGTGGGGACTTGAGTTCAAACAGGGGCCAGCACCTTGCTGCCTCCACATGAGAGACACAGAATCAAAGTGCCCTTAAAGTGAATGGCACCAGACATTTGATTTACAGTCAGGAAGCCAAAAAGGTTTTGTTACTCTTCATCGTAAGCAGCTATTGATTGTTGCAAGGAAAGGCTTGCTGTTTCCTAAGGTTTAAGTTTCTTCAGTCTTTTAACCTCTGACTGGCCCTTGCTGTTAGGAACTACTATGGAATTTAGCACTTGTTTAATATAAAATGAATTATTTGAGATCAGTTATGACAGCTCTCTCAGGCTAACATCTATTGCCCAGGGCAAGGTGAAGGGTACATTACATAATGCAGATGTTACTAATGGCCATCTTGGGAGGAGTCATGGCACAGAGCTGGCAATGCTTCCTGGTGTGTCTTACCCTCACACTGGAGGACTGGGCACCTGGAAAGCAGAGGTTTCCTGTGCAGTACAAGATGTCACCAGGATGCTAGTATTCTGGAAAGCAGAGGGCACAGTTTTTCTCCCAGGTGGCATCAACTAGGTGTGTAGTCTCTGAGAAGCATGCTGCTGTGACAACACAGTATTCTATGGAACTTCTGTACCAGGAGTCAGGGCGTGGCGCTCACAATGCTAGCCAGATGGAGGCAAAGACTCTTCTAACCTACAGCTTGTTAGATAATTCCTTTTATAAGACGATTGGATGCTGTATGCAGATTTCAAAAGTAATTTATTGTAATAAACTAGTAATATTTCATTAGTTGAGCAGCTGAATTAAGGTTCATGGTGATATTTTAATAATTATTGCATATTTGGATCAAAGTATATGATCTATTCATTTATTTAATTTTCTTTTTTAATTACTGTTTATTATTATTAGTTACATTTTATTAACTCTGTATCCCAGCTGTATCCCGTTCCCTTATTCCCTCCAATCCCACCCTCCCCCCCTCAGCTTCTCCCTGCCCCTTTCCAAGTCCACAGATTGGGGAGTACCTCCTCCCCTTTCGTCTGGCCCTGTTTTATCAGGTATCTTCAGGACTGGCTGCAAAGTCCTTCTCTGTGGCCTAGCAGAAGGCATCTGAAAGACTCTACAAAGCAGCTTTTTCAAAACAGATACTAAGACTCATAACCAAAACTTCGGCAGAAGGAGAGTTAGTATGATGTGGAAAAAATAGGAGCCCCACAAGGACCAAATATATCTGGGCACAAGGGTTTTTTCTGAAACTGTTTCTCCAACCAAGGACCATGTATGGATATAACCTAGAACCTTTGCTCAGACGAAGCTCGTGGTAGCTCAATAACCAATTGGTTTCCCATAGTGAGGGGAACAGGGACTATTTCTAACAGGAACTCAATGGCAGGCTCTTTGACTCCCCACCCTCCATTTATTTAATTTTCAATTTAAATAAGCACACAGGAAGACTGTCCACTCTGGCTGCAGATGGCCCTGGCTCCTTCCTCTCACAACCACAAACATCCTGAGCAGCTATTATAATTTCACAGGAGGATAATGTTCCTTCATCTGGGACTCAGTCACCTGCTTCAAGATTTGATATAATTTCTTATCAGAAATTTATCCTCATCTGTCACTGAATCAACATGGCCCTTTCCCCCATGAGCATAAACAAAAATTGGAATGACAAGATAACAAGGCTAAATTGCTAAAATAAATAAATAAATAAATTTTAAAAAGGAGGGAGAGGATGTCTTCTTTATTTTTTATTTTTTCTCATCTTCTTTATTATTATTATTATTATTATTATTATTATTATTATTATTACAGGACTTCCACAAGGAGAAAAAAAGACCAAAAAGAAAAAAAAAATGGGCACAGGAGTCTTTTCTGAGGCTGATACTCCAACCAAGGACAATGCATGGAGATAACCTAGAACCTCCACACAGATGTAGTCAATGGCAGCTCAATCTCCAAGTGGGTTACCTAGTAAGGGGAACAGGGGCTGTCTCTGATGTGAACTCAGTGGCTGGCTCTTTGATCACCTCTCCCTGAGGGGAAAGCAACCTTGCCAGGCCACAGAGGAAGACAATGCAACCAGTCCTGTTGAGACCTGATAGGCTAGGGTCAGAGGGAAGGGGAGGAGGACCTCCCCTATCAGTGGACTGGGGGAGGGGCACGGAAGGAGAAGAGGGAGGGAGGATGGGAATGGGAGGGAACTACAGCTGGGATACAAAGTGAATAAGTTGTAATAAATAAAAAAAAATAAAAAAGGGATGGCTTCTTTTAAAAAATGATTTCTAAACTTTATGGTGAAAACAGTGAATACCAGAATTAAATCTAGCATTGCTCCCTCCAAATAATCAAATTATTGAAGCGTAAAGTGAATATAATTATTTCCAAAAATTAGAGGCAATGGTATGAAACAAAAAAGATCCAATGTGCAGCTTGAGGAGATTTAACCTACACAAAACAACTTCATAAACAAAGAGTAGATGACAGGAGGAAGAGGTAATGGTCAAATAAACACATGAAAGAAAACTTCACTGTGACAAAGACCCTTTAGAGTCTACTGTTGTCCTTTTCAGGCTTTAAGAGCATACATGTTCTAGGATGTTTTTTCAGGCTGTCTTTTTCTAACACGTTCTGTGTAGTTGAGGACCACCATGAACTTTGGTCTCCTGAATGCTGGGTTACAGGTGAATATCATTACAGAGTTACAGCCCAGGATTACAGGCGTGTGCCATCACAGATTGTAGTTGTAAACCCTCACAACGTTAGTGATTCCTACAGTCACACCCAGTTTATGCGGTTTCAGGAATGGAAGTCAAGGATTCATGAATGCTGGGCAAATGCTCTACCAGCTGAACTATATCTCTGAGTATTTTCCCAGCTTTCAAAGCTCATTTTATTAAAATGGAATAGATTTTTATTATTATTAGGTACAGTTGTAATGTACAATATTCAAGTCACTTTTATAATTAAAATGTGTTAGTTTTCTGCTCTGTGAGAACAGACATTGTCTCACCATAGCTTTTCTTCACACTGACTAGTTCCCTATTTTGTTTTTTTATGAAATGCAGGCTTTGCATCCCGAGAACAATTATAAAATTAACGATCTGCTACTACACACTGTGTTTCCTGGAGTGACGCCTGTGGAGCAGGCTGGGATGGCTGACTAGAAACCATCGTTTAGTTTTCACTGTGCTAACCAGTTGCACTGCTCGAATCTCGCGAGTCTAACCTCAGGTAATGACGTTCCCACATTTCAGTCCTTTGTCCTCTCCTCTGTTAGTCAGATGGTATAGGAGAGGTGTGTGGGTGTTGTACATTCTGAGTCTTTGCATGGCTTGAACACATCTGTTGTCCTTGTCGCAGGAGTCTCCAGAGAGAGGAGTCTTGGAATAAGCCTTCCTCGTTCTGAGCTCTACAGGACCTCGCTGTAGAGCTTCCTTTCTGGTGTTTTCACCACGGTGCTCTGGCTTCTCTTCCTGAATACATACATCATCTTGTAAGTTTTTCTTCCAAAAGTAGCTGCACTCTCAGAGAGTCTAAAGCTGTCTGTCACAGTGAAGGTTTCCTTTATGTGTTTGTTTGACCATTACCCCTTCCTCCTGTCATCTACTGTTTATGAACTTGTTTTGCATAGATTTAATTTCTTGAGCCTACACGTTGGATCCTATGTGTTTCATACCATTGCCTCTAATTTTTGGAAATAATTATATTCACTTTACACTTCAATAATTTGATGTTCTGGAGCAATGACAGATTTAATTCAGGTATTCGCTGTTTTCACCATGAAAATTAGAAATTATTATTTTTTAAAGACATTCTTTTCTTTTTTTTTTTTTACATTTTAGCTCCATTGTTCCAATTTTTCTTTATTTTCATAGGGGAAAGGACCATGCTGATTCAGTGACAGAGTAGGATAATTCTTTGACAAGAGATTTCATCAACACTTGGGAGCAGGTGACTGAGTCCCAGATGAAGGGACATTATCCTCCTGTGAATTTATAACTGCTCAGGGAGCCTGCAGTCGTGAGAGGAAGGAGCCAAGGACATGTGCAGCCGGAGTGGACATCCTGGCCCTGTGCTGGGTAGCCTGCCCCTATGTGGAAACATTGCTTCTTTGTTCCTTTATACTTGACTGTGGTCACTGTTCAGGACCAGGCAGCAGCCTTGCTCTCTTTCTGTCTGACAGAGGTGTGATGGCCAGAGCTCAGTGTGTAGCTCTGCTTTTAACTTTGCTTTTCGGGGAGGAGGGGCTGTGAGGAGGACGGTCTGTGTTGGCTTGTCTATTCCACATACAGTCTATTTAGCATGACTCTAGGCATCCACAGACCTTACATCTCAGTTTCTCACTGATTTTATACTAGCCTTTTGACAATGGTTTTTGTCTATGTGTTGCTGGGAACTGAATAGAGAGCCTTGTACATGATAACTGCTTGGCCACCCAGCTACATCAGCTGTCCATAGGGAGGCTTTTGTTTTGTTTTGTCTTTTGGTACAAGTGTCACAATATTATGTGGATACAGACCTCTTAACCCTCCCTCCACACCTATGGTTGATCTGAAGTTCTAATTTTAGTTGGCATCCTGTTTGTCTGGAAATCCCACCCATACCCACAGTCAGGGCTGGTCCTTGTTGAACTGAGGCAATGTAATAAAGGAACTGTTCAGGGACTCTGCCCAAATCTAAGGACATTTTTTTTTCAGGTGACTACAGGCTTTGTTCTTCAAGCCTCCCTACAATCAGCCCGCATATTTGTTCTCTCTACTACAATGGAAAGATTAGAAATTGTTAATGTCCTGAACGGCTGCCGATTTCTTACTACTCTCATCTACCAATTGTGATCTCTGTAGGCTTCTGAGATGCCATTAGGTGAAGAGATGGATATGATAGACGGGAAGAATGTCAAGGGTGCTCACATTATCACTGGATGAGCAAAGTTTTGCTACTCCTAACTCAGCTTCCTAGGCATCAGTGGCTACTCATCTGGTAGCACCCCTTTTAAAAACAGAATGGGTTATGTGGTTGGATAAATGAGGCCATCTTAGGCTAGAGCTGATTTAATAGACTGAGAAGAATGGCTTTCCGCAAGCTATCTCCGTGGAGATTTATTTTCTCATCCCATCATTCTATTATTTGTTTACTACCTTATCACTGAGTTCATCTACTTCCCTAGAAAGTTAATAAACCAAAAAAAGATAAATGCCCTATGCAAAACTACTCATAAATAGAAAAATAATCATAGCGACATTTATAGAGCATTTACTATGTGCCAGAAAACAGCTATGTGTATTACATATACTACCTCATGGAGTCTCTGTGCTTAAGGAAAACCTACTGACTCTCCTTTGCATGAGTACACATGTAACCAGGAAGGGAAAGAGCCATCATAAGCCTCACAGTGTGCTCTGAATGCACTGCCCTTCTGTGTCTTGCCATCCTGAAGCCCTTTACTTGTAAGTATTCATTTTTAAAACAGGCTGGATTGTGTGGAGCTGGTCTTCTGTTCTCTGCTCCTTTAATTCCCTCCGAGAAAAAGCAAGGTGGGTTTGCGGTTGTGATTGTGCTTCTAATTTCCATTAGCCTTATCAGTATGCATACCGCCCTGCAGCCTCAGCCCCCACTGTGATCACAGGCAGCTTTCTCCTTCCTCCTCTTGCTAAAGATTTGCTTCCCTCTGCAAATATTTTCTTATCCACTCACCAACTCACAAAGCATCAAGTGATAACTATATGACCTAGAAAAAAATTACTAAAACGTCGAATTCAGGAGGGAACGCAGCTAGAGATGGCAGAGAGCCAGTTCCCAAAGCAAGGTGGATCAAAGGAAATCCTTAATACCTGCTCAGGGCTGGCACGGTCATAACTGTGTGGCTTATTTCCCTTGTGCACTGGTGGCTCGTGTAAATTGCAGGAGAGTCCCTGCGAAGTCCCAAGAGGTATAGACATGCCCTTCAGTATCTCCAGCGAGTTCCACTGGAGGTAACAAAACTCTGATGCAGTAACTACACAAGGTATCATTGATACCTCAGCTGGAAATAAGACAGAGGATTTAACTCATGCCACCGCACTGTCCTCAGGATCATCATAAGGGGCTCTGTTCGTTCTTTGTCTTCATGACAAAAATGATGGGTCCCCAAGAGTATTGCTATGGTGGTTAGTCTGTTTGCCTACACTGTCTACCTGAATAAATCTGAAATCACCTAGAATATACACCTCAGGGAAACTCATGCTGGGTGAGTGTATGGTAGGTGTGCTGTCCCATAGGCTAGGGTCACCCCCAACTCACCCCCAGTGGACAAAAAAACAGAAAGAAGAAAGCCAACACTTCCTTTCTCTTGACTTCTGCTTTGCCCACAAATAAGGTGTCCCAGGTTTACATGCCAGACATGATAAACTCTGCCATCAGAGACTTTATTCTCTCACACCAGAAGCAAAATAAATACGTTTTAGTCCCATAAGTTACCTTTGTCATGCATTTGTAATAGCAACAAGAAAACATAATTGATATGGTTTTCCCAATCCAACAAATGTTATGGTAAAGTTTTACCAAGCAACTGTATTTTGGACACTTTTTATTCTGCAGTTCTGCAGATAGAGCATCATATGGACAAATGTAAGCAACTGTGTGGTAGTTTTGTGCAGAAGATAAAACTGAAAGGGAGTAAAAGACTGAGATCCCTCCATCTACTATTTAAGTTTCTGTGATATGACCAGTGCCTTCTGCATTTTATGTTGTAGTTAAATAAGTCCATGAATCATGTCCTTCTGTGTACTTTTTCTAAATAGAAGACTAGAGAAACCTATTTTCTTGCTGAAGGTCACACAGCACAGAGCACTATCAAGAGAGGTCTACTCTATCGCTAAAGTTCCATTCTTTTTCATTGAAACCACAAACAGCTTCCATTCCATTGTCTATGGAGTTTCTCTCCACCACTGAAAACTGTGAGTTAAATATGATCACATGTGTTTTTCATGTGCATTAATCATCCTTAATTTTAATTTAAAATATTGGACCTGTTAACACTCAGTCATAAGTGGGCCATCTTTTAACCCTTACCCCCACCTTACCCCTACCAAGCTCATGGAACATCACAGAAGAAGAAAAAGAAAGAATTAAAAGTCAGAGGATAAGGATGTGAGATGCTATGAATGAGACATGGCTACTGCTCTTTGAACTCAGAACAGTAGTGGCTAACTGCATAAGACCAATGCAGGATCAATACAGCCAAAATTCTGGCACACATGGGGAGGGCGCCCCCCCCAAACCCCAGGCCTCACTGAAAGCTATCAGAAAGTCGATGGCTGCTGGGAGGAAGAGTCACCCTCTTTGGAGGATGTGGCTACTGTTAGGCTACCCGTGCTGTGCTGCTCCGAATGATCTTATACCCATGAACATATGGGAAGCACTAATGGGATTTAGTGGGGTACATATGCAAAATAAGAGGACATAAAGATCTGAGCAAATTAGAGGGAACAAATTGGAGCTGATATGGTCCCATTTCATTATATACATGTCTACATTTCTCAAAGAATATAAAAACATACAATAAGTAATAAGGCAGTGGAAAGCTGACTCTGACATGGATGCACTTATAACTGTAAGGAAACAACCCCCTGGGGTGGGGAGATACATTTATAGTTGATGCTGTCCATGCAAGTATGAGAGTTAGAGTTTACAGTCCCCAGCATCCAAGTTCATTCTATGTGTCAGGACGGACCACCTATAATTCCAGTTATTGGAAGGCCGAAACAAGGACTCCACAGAGCACGCTGGCCAGACAAACTAGCTATACCTGCAAGATCTTCAACAAATAGATCCTGTCTCAATGAATAATAAGGGAGAGAGAAAGACAAGAAGACTTCTGATGTCGACCTTGGACCTTCATATATGTGTGTGCTTGCATACACACACACACACACACACACACACACACACACCATCACCACCACCATCACCACCACCACCACAGTACATGGCATTGTGCACACACTGAACATACACACTCTGCATGCATACACATACACACAGGCACACAGTGCACATACACATAAACACACCACAAACCACATCACAGCGCAAACACACACACACACACACACACACACACACACACCACCTGAATATACACTCATGCAAAGACTCATTTACACACACATACTATGTACATATAAACATCCACTAAAAAGGAACCCATTCTGTAATTTATTGTCTGTGTAGTCAAGCATGAGTCAAAAATATATTTTACAAGTGCACTTTGTTTAACTAGACTTTATAAATGTCAAACTTCTTATGTTTAAACTTTGGTTATCAGCAACAAAGATCTGAGTTGGGAACGATCAACAATCAAGTACACACAAATGAAAATGACCCAAGGGAAAAGAAACTCTGAAAGTGTAAATAAAGGACAGAGGCAAAGTTCAGAATTACTTTTCTGTTTCATATCCATGGCAAGAGCTATCTCCCCTGAGGCCAAGAGAAGAAAAGTATCCATCATCTTTTCTGCAAACTAAGGATGCCAGAAGAGACTGATATGAGCGGATGCCCATGCCTAAAACTGAAAGGAAATGTCTTCACCACTAGGTTCTGTGTTCACAGGGAGGGTGAAGGCAGATAATGTGACCCCCCAGGCTGATTAATAGAAAGTCTACATGCAAGCATCCCTTTGATAAGACACTTAAAATGTGATTTTAGGAGAAACTAATAAGCTGTCCGCCAGAATGAGACAAAGTTCATAGACTTTAGGGACATCAGGAGGATCTAGAGAAGCTGGGAGAGGGAAAAGAATATGATCCAAGTATAGTGTATCAAAAATATAGTGAATGAAAACCAGTTGATGAATTTGCTAGCTTCATTTTCTCTTTCCTATTTCATGCTTTTGCTTGCTAATTTTCTCTCTCAGAACCAGTTTGTATTCTTTTTATAATTTTGCATATTATCAGTGTGTGTGTGTGTGTGTGTGTGTGTGTGTGATGTATGTGTGTGTGTGTGTGTGTGTGCATGCTGTATGTGTGGCCTCATTTACCACGTCATGTGCTGAGAACAGAGGAAGCTTTGTTGAGTGAATTCTCTGTTCTCATCTCTATATGTTGCGTTAGACAGGGTTTTCTAAATGAACAGAACTGATAAAATTAGCACACACATCTATGTACACATGCACACGCTTGCACACACACATATGCACATTAAAAGAGGACTTATTAGACTGGCTTGCATGCTGTTCTGAGTACTTCAACAATGACTGTTATGAAGGAATGGTTGATAATACAGTAGCTGCTCAGTCCACAGGCCGGGTTTGGCTGCAGTCCCAATATGATGCTTGAGTCTTGGACAATTCCTAGGGAGCTTCTGGTTTCCAGGTCTGCACTGGCACATTGAAAAGGTTGTATTCAAGTCCACGTGCAGAAAGACAAGACAAAGTTGCCAGGGAGAGTGAGTGCACGCACACAGCAAGCAAAGGTCCCTTCTTCCATGGTTTTAGTGTAGGCCATCAGATGGTGTGTTCCACACTTAGGGTGGGACATCTCCCATCCAATCATCAGATAAGAAATTCCCTCACAGGGCTGAGCATTGTGTGTTTTAGTTGATTCCAGATGTGGTCAAGTGGACATCTGTGATTAGGCATCACAGGCGTGTCCTGGGAATCATAATCAGGTTGCCAGGCTTAAGGGACAAGTGCTTTTGTATGTGGAACCATGTTACTGACCACAAGAAATGAAAGTAACATGTGGAGTGGAATCTTAAAATTTTATTCATGAAATATTTGTAGTGTGAGTAGGAAGTAATCTTAGTTAATAAAATGTTACATTGTCTTCTACCTAAAGAGTTTTATAAAAGATGATAGTAACCAATGTTTATCTAGCACTTCATGAGTACCCAACGGTTGGCATTTCCTGCCACTAAACTCTAGCTGCTATCGGAAGTTTAACAGAGAGACAAAATCCTTCTCTTGTAGAGCAGTGCTTTGAGCAACGGCAAGTACCAAGGCTGAGGTGAGGAGCGACTTTGTGTGTCAAGTAGCACATAGTAATTGATACCTGCCATGACAGCTTAATTCTCAGGAAAAGGGCATCAGCGCATCTAGTTGTCCTAATCTGAAAGTATACTTTACACTCAGAGTGTAAAACAGAGCAGAACAAGTATGTTAGAGGCCTGATTCCTGACTTGGTGCTCACCCTTAATTTACCAGCTCAGCAAGACTCTGATGTCATGCCTTCTCTGTACCACACGCTGAATGAGACAACGAAGATACAAATACAGTAATTATGAAAGAGCATAATTCCTCTTCTTCAGTCTTCTAGACTACTTTGTGAAAATAAAGTCCCAAAGAATGTAGACACAAGAAGACAGAGAGGTACAGGGCAGAGGACAGCAAAGCAGAGATCATGTGGCTTGACTAAGGGAAAGAAGAGGATAAATGTCAGAAAGAAAGCAAAATTCACAAGAGGCGCAAGCATGAAGCATATGGCATGTATTTTGGTCTCTAAATAACTGGTGCAAAAAGTAGCATGAGCAGGCAGTAGAGTGAGCTACATGTGTTTAAAGGATGTAAGTTTTTCTGCAGAGACTGGGAGTTGGTAAGAACTTAAGTGGAATAGAGCCATTCTCCAATTTCTGCCTTAGGAAAGGAGATTTTACTGGATATGAGGATAAATAATCACAGAGGGACACATGCAAAGTATCATAATACTTACCACACAGATTACAAAAGGTTGGGCAGATGCTGAAGGATCAGTTTACAATACTAAATACAAATAAAGCATGTCTTTACTTAATGTACTTTTTTCAGAAATCATAACTCCACTATGTGTGTGTGTTTGTGCATGGGAGTAAACATTCTGTAGTTTTTATAACGAGCTCTTTTAAAAGCAGCTTCAAACATCTCTGGGTAGCAATCTGGAAACTATAACTCACAAGATACTTTCTGTTTTTTAAGCAAGGTGTTCTAAGTTTGTCTGGGACAAAAATGATTCTAGATCCTGGGTTTCTATTTCTTTGACTGTACAGCATGGCGCATCTCTAGGAAGGTCATCTAATTTGTATATAGTTTCACAGGGTCTAGCTTTACGGGTTCCTTTTTTTGATTCATAGAAATTGGTCGCAAGCTACACTGACTCATCTTTTCTGTGTCCTGAGGCAACATTTTTCAGTAGAGAGGAGAATTAAATCTAGTCTTTGAAACTGAACAAGTTTCTCTAGTTGAATTGTGAAAATTCATTGGACATAAAACTTGGGTCTGCAGATCCAAAACTACTACATCTGAACTTTTATTAAATTAACTGATCTAAACCTAATTTCAAACCTCATACAAATACTGAGCTTGACTTCATGCCTAAGATCAAAATAATTTCAGTATATCCTTATCAACATAATTCTAATAACAATTGGCATTATGTTAATATTTTGTGCAAACAATGCAGTTATGAGGAGTACAATAGGCTCAAA